ACTGTATCGGTTTCCACTGATTAAGAAATATTTTTGTTTGCTTGGGTGGTAATATTAGGCCTATTATATTAATAGGGAATTTTCAGGGGCTCAAATGTAATTGGACAAATAAATATAATCATAAATAAAATGTTAATTTTTAATATTGTGTTGAGAATTCTTAGCAGGCAATTACTGCCTGGGGAAGTCGTGGCCTAATGGTTAAAAATGGTTAATGGAGAGTCAGACTCATAACCCAAAGGTTGTGGGTTCGAGTCTCGTACCGGCAGGGATTGTAGGTGGGGGGGAGTGAATGTACAGCGCTCTCTCCCACCTTCAATACCACGACTGAGGTGCCCTTGAGCAAGGCACCGAACCCCCAACTGCTCCCCGGGCGCCGCAGCATAAATGGCTGCCCACTGCTCCGGGTGTGTGTTCACGGTGTGTGTGTTCACTGCTGTGTGTGTGCACTTTGGATGGGTAAATGCAGAGCACTAATTCCGAGTATGGGTCAGACTTCACTTAAGTCTGGAGCTCATGGATATCGGCAGAGTCTGGGTTTCTTCTTTGTGATGCTTTGCAAGGCCTTTACTGCAGCTGACTTCAGTTGTTGTGTGTTTGTGGGTCGTTCTGCCTTTAGTTTTGTCTTCAGCGAGTGAAATGCTGCTCAATCGGGTTGAGATCAGGAGATTGACTTGGACACTGCACAATATTCCACTGTTTTACCTTCAAAAACTCCTGGATTGTTTGTGCTGTATGTCTTGGGTCATGGTTCATTTGTTCTATGAAGCGTCTCTCAATCAGCTTTACAGTCGTCTGTTTCACTTGTATGGAGAGATCCTTTGACTGCATGATGTGGGTTACATATTAAAGAGCTGTAGTTCCTTAATCTTTCCTCCAATTGTGATGACAATACCCTCAAATTAAAGCTCAGAGTGTGCACTTTAAGCCCATATTCATTATATAACTGTAACTTGAATATGTTTTGGTCAGCAGCTAAAATAATAAAAATGGTGCCTCTTTCGAAATATATTTCTGTCATGACAACTCTCGGAGGGATTGGCATGGTAATGTACATGACAATGTTAATGTATTTGGTCTTGGCAGAATAGATCTGCTGCTGCTGCTGCGGCAGAGAAAGTACCGAGACTTGCTGCTGCCAATACATCCACAACATGCTGCTGTGAGCATGTAAGAAATACTGCTGCTGAAAATATAACATACATGAATCACCTCATAGCAGATCTATACAGGTGGAGCTGGGGAAGGTGGAGGGTTTCTGAAGCAAGCTGCACTGCTACGGCAAGCACTAGTCATATATTTGAATGTTGAGCAGCGAGCTCATTGGCTACCGATACAGGAGAGAACCAATCAGCTGTACCATGTGATGATGATGTCATTAGGTCAGATTGAGTTAGACCTATCGGACTGCGCCATCTAGAGTTTCATGCCAGAACTCTGTATATGGACCTAACTGTAAATATAGCAATAATTCCAGTTTAACTTTTGTGTTTTAGAGTGTATTCCTGTGATTGACTGATAATTATTGTTCTGTATTTTTAGGCCACTGTATCTTGAGTTTAACATGCTTCCTCTTGAGCTCAGACTGATACTGCAAATGTACAACCATACTAGTTTAGTCAGAATATCTTCAGCTGTGTGTGTGTGTGTGTGTGTGTGTGTGTGTGTGTTTCAGAAGCAGCTATCAGTTGCTCAGTCTTCTCAACGAACAGGAAAAGTTGAGGAGCTGGACCAGGAGCTGGCCAACCATCACTGAAGCACAACCTCTGCTGCTTTACCAGCAAACCAGCATACAGGTCAGAGTGTGTGTGTGTGTGTGTGTGTGTGTGTGTCTGTCACCTGTCAAATTATGGTCAGATGGATTTGCGTGACCCTGTCCTGACCTCAGAGCGCTTGTCTGCGGCTGGTGACACACGGGATAATGTGTGTCTGTGTCTGTCTGAACATCCTTTTCTGTGCTCTTCTGTGTGTGTTTTCTGGGTAAATCACTATCTTTAGGTCACATTTCACCCCAGAATCAATAGGAAAAACATGAGAAATTATATTTTGTATCAAGAAAATGAAGCCGATTTAAGGACACAAACCTCACACTTATTTTTAATACTTTTTTATAAATTAAAAAGTACAATAAATATGACTACAACGTACATGTACTACTTTACTAATTAATAACATTTAGTAATAATAGTAATAGCATGTTTTTTTTTCACATAACCGTAATCAGAATAAGAATATTTTTGTCATGAAAATAATGTCACAATGCAAAAAAAGTCATAATGGTTCTAAAAACAGTTTTTTGTTATATAAAATACCTGACCTGAATGTTTCATGACAGACATGATGAGATTGCGCCATGTCTTGATGTGATTGCAGAGATTCAGTGCTGTAATTGTTGTCTTTCTTAGGTCTCTCTGGCTGTGACATGAGAAGAAGAAAGAGTCAAACGTGTTCAGACTGATTCAGGATTGTGAATCAGCGACCGGCTGACCGGAGCTCCTGTCACATGCTGTAAAGGGAGGAGCATGAGCCAATAAGATGCTTACCCTCACCTCTGGTCCCTCCCCTTTATAAAAAAAACTCCTGTTACTTGAAATCACTATATCCTCAGCACTTTTTCATTCTTTCTTTTAAAGAACCTTTCTTCACACGCTCGTTGCTCTTTCAGCTGCAGCTCCGTGTTAGAGCGACTGTTAATGCACTGTTCCCGTCCGCTGCTCGTGTTGCGCTGGATGAAGATGTCTATATAATGTTACGATGAATGTTTTGTTGCCTTTCAGATGTGTTATTAGTTCAAGCATTAAGTCACTGTTCTTGTGATTCACTGTCAGTTCAAACCTTCATGCACCCCTTTGTTTATTCTTTCTGATTTGAAAAGATGAAATCCTTAAAATAGTAAACCGAAGAGACACACTGAACTGAAGCAGAGCAAAAAGTCATATTTCACTCAAAACAACAGGAAGAAATAATATTTTGCGTGACTGTTTTAGGGCCTTTTTTGCATTTTGCTATTATTTTCATGATAATTAAACACATTTCACCCCAAATTCACATTATTATTATTATACACACGAAAAGTTATGGTATGTTTCAATTTTGTAGTGTTCATACATTTTTGGTAGAATTAGTCATACTGTAATTTCATACATAATTAGTCATATGTTGATTTTTTTTAAAGTACATTATTACAATATTTATAGTAATGAGAATCACCACTGAGAATGAGGAAAAGATTTCACAAGATGAGTGTGATCATAAACTCTTCTAAAGTCTTTGGTAAGCATGAACATCCATGGTCTGTTGCTTCCTCAAACTGTGCTGTACAAACCAGAGATGGTTTTCACCGTCTTCACGAGGATCCCCAGCTTCATTGTTTAAGGGCAGAATCCACTCAATATTACACCCGTCTGTTGAACTTTTGCCATTTCAATGCTTGAGGGGAAACGGTTCGCTGTTGTGTGAATTTTAAGGTAAAGTTTTGGATGAGAGGACTAAGTTTAAGAACGTCCTGTCTCTTCATCCTCTCACCAGCGGCACACTTCTCTTTTGTATGCAGCAGTATTGTGATTGCAACAGAAGTACTGTACACCTGCACACTCAGAGTCCAGTCTGTGTGCCTGGAGGTCGATCATGGTCAACATGTAATGAATGATGTAAACATTGCATTTGCTTCCCTTTTAATATTGTTTGAACCCTTGAAGCAGAACCAGTATTATTAAAAGCATTTTATGTGTATAAAAGCTTATAACATATCAATGAATTAAAGAGTATCTGGTCACTGATGTTTATGAGGCTTCATTTATTCATTTAGCTCTTTAAAAGCAATGTGTTCCAGCACTAGGCACATTAATCTTCGCAGTGACTGTTGAGGAGCAGCACACATGTTCTCATTGTCGATGCTTCACCACAGAAATGGACATATTTCTTTCACAAGACACAAAATATTCTTGCTAATCTGAATGTGTGATGATTTTAGTAGCTTCTTGGAATAGGGTGGCACTGACTTCCTGTTAGCAGAGTCTTATTCAGGCATATATAGATGAATTGTGAAAGCATCTGCTGAGATATGTTGAAACTGATTTCCATCACTTTTATGACAAAATCTTTTACCAGTAGTTTTATAGATGCGGATGATTATACAATCATGTTCAAAAACAGATTGAAAACAGTTTCCGCATTAAATAATTAGTAATAAGTGTTCAACCAAGTGGACATGACCCCTGGAGATAATGCAAATGGTCTACCAATAACTGAGCAAAATTGAACTGCTGTGGGAAAAAATGAAACATTATGTGAAGTTCAAGCTAAGCTAAAGCAAATAAGCTGAGGTTCATTTAAATGTTTCATTGTCCTGCCCACATTGAAATGTTTTAAGAGTGCTGTTCTGAATTTTAGCATGACTCTGAATACCTGTGGCTTCCGCCAAATCAAAACACATTAACAGCATGATTGTGAGTGTGATGTTGCTAACAAGAAATTAATATTGATTAACTAACATTTAGAGACACAATACTGCTAATTTGTCTATTTGCCCTACCAACGAAACTGGCATTCATTTGGTATCTCAACATGGGAAAGCACCAATAACACCAATCCCAGCAATGTTGCGGGAATCCCTGCCATTGATGGAATTTTATGGCTTTCTGTGTTTTTACTGTTATACAGAAGGGGGTGCTATTAGACATCATCTGAAAGAGTACAGAATCTCCTTCATACTGGCAGTGAAATGAGTGAGTCCCCCTCCTTCAGGCTAGGGGAACTAGACGTTATAAAGAAGTGTAGGAGAGCTGCTGCTTAACTCTCCACAGACTGGCCTTTACAGCATATAATCCATACAGCGGTGGCCAAAATGATTAGAACACTAGTATTTCAGCAGCTAAAACATGGTTTTAAGTCAGTTATTTCTATATTTTGCTGTAGTGTGTCAGTAGGAAATATCAGTTTACATTTCCAAACATTCATTTTGCCATAAATTGTAATAATCGAGTGGGATTTTTGTCTGTCAACAGCCAGTGCTCCAGACAGAGATCTGATCTCATCATCATCCAGTCTGTGTCACAGCCATCTGCTGGAATGCCCTTGCCAGCCATCAGAGGACACTCTTCTGGACTGTTGATTGTATTCCGAACTTCAGTTCCCATCACCCCTTGCACTCATTATTAGTTCTCATTGTTCCCAGCTGCATGTCATTCAGTATTATTTGTTCCCCTATATATACCATGTTCTGTTATCCTTTGTTTGCTTCAGTATTGCGTTCTGTTTCTGTATACTTTCGGTTACCCCGTGTTTGAATTACTTTTTGCTTTCTTCTTGTTTGCCCTGTTGTGGATCTTTGTTTTAGATTTATTAAACTGCACTTGGATCTTTCATTGTTTTCCTGAATATTTCGTGACAGAATACTGAAGCCCAACATCAGATCCAGCAGTTGGGCAGTGTTCTCTGTTTTTCATTTGGACCAAGGGCATTCATATTCTTCCTCCAGCCACTAGTAAGGAGCGGATTGCATGATTTCGGGCCTTGTTGGCTCTGCGCCAGCAGGGGATGGAGGTTGGAGGTTTCATCCATTTTTTTTGGGACTTTAGCGGAGGGGCTGGATTACAATGATTAATGGTTGCCTGGATGAACCTCGGCCCCAGTGTGAGATGGAAGCACTTCAGACTCTGGATTATTGGGGTTTTGTTAACTATCTCTGTTACCGCAGTTTAGAGGTGTCACTAGGTGAGTCTGAGCCCACTGCAGTGCCCCCGGAGATGCCAAAGTCCGCTGTAACCTCTTCAGAGAACAGTGAAGCTTCCCTATCTCTGACCAGTAAAGGTAGGGTGAGAAGGAGGAGGGCAGCTAAGTCCGCTCCTGTGGTCCCAGGTCTGGTGGTCCTGGAGGACCCGACTCCGGTGGCCTCAGAGTCCACTCCAAAGCCTGCTCTAGTCCGGGAGCCCTCACAATCCACTTCAGAGCCTGCTCTAGTTCGGGAGCCCTCAAAATCCACTCATGAACCCGCTCCAGTCTGGGAGCCCACAGAATCCACACCAGAGCCTGCCCCAGCCCAGGATCCCACAGAATCCGCTCCAGAGCCTGCTCCAGTCCGGGAGACCTCAGAGTCCACTCACGAACCTGCTCCAGTCTGGGAGCTCTCAGAGTCCACTCCAGAGCCCACTCCAGTCCGGGAGCTCTTCAAGTTCACTCCAGAGCCTACTCTAGTCTATGAGTTTACTTCTGATCCCACTCAAGTCTATGAGTTCACCCCAGAGCCCACTCAAATCTACGAGTTTATTCCAGAGTTCGCTCCAGTCTATGAGTCCGCTCCAGAGCCCACTCAAATCTACGGGTTTATTCCAGAGCTCACTCCAGTCTATGTGTCCGCTCCAGAGCCCACTCAATTTTACGAGTACACCCCAAAGCCCAATCCAGTTCAGGAGTCCACTCCTAAGCCTGCTTCCAGTTCGTACCGAGGTGGCGGCATCTGCATGCAGAACCTCCAGAGGTGGCGTTCACTTCAGCTCCTCTGAAGAGAGGGGTGTCCGTTTATAAACTCTTCATCTATCTTGACGAGGTCATGGAGACCGTCAGTGAATCCCCTGTCATACCAGCCTCAGCCCTAGAAGTCTATAATAAATTCTTAGCCCTGCCTATTACGGTTGCAAAGACTGCCTCTGAATTCACTCAGTGCCCTGTTGCGGTCGTGGAGACCATTGCTGAACTGCCTGCCTGTCTTATTGCGGCCATCAAGGCTGTTACTAATCTCTCTGTGCTCTTAATTGCAGTCCTGCCTGAGCCACTAGGGGGGTCATCTGCTTTGTCAGCTCCGCTGAGGTGGGCTTCAGCCCCACCCTTGCTGCCTAGCTCCTAGCCTCTACCTCCGTGTCCAGACCCTTTTCCACTACATGGGCATGGCCCGCCATCCCACCCCCTGATCCACCTCCGTTCTGCCTCCCTCCTGGATTTCTCCCTCCTGGATTTCTTTGATTTTTGTTGGAGCATCTGGAATTCGCTCCTTAAAGTGGGGGTCATGTCACAACCATCTGCTGGAATGCCCTTGCCAGCCATCAGAGGACACTCTTCTGGACTGTTGATTGTGTTCCGGACTTCAGTTCCCATCACCCCTTGCACTTATTATTAGTTCTCATTGTTCCCAGCTGTGTGTCATTTAGAATTATTTGTTCCCCTCTATATACCATGTTCTGTTATTCCTTGTTTGCTTCAGTATTGCGTTCTGTTTCTGTGTACTTTCTGTTACCCCGTTTTTTAATTACTTTTTGCTTTCTTCTTGTTTGCCCTGTTTTGGATCTTTTTTTTTTATTTATTAAACTGCACTTGGATCTTTCATTGTTTTCTCGAATATTTCGCGACAGTCTGTCTGGAATGACATGAAGAAACAGAACAAACTGAGACAGACTAAATCCAGAAGAACTGTGGCAACGTCTCCAAGACGCTTCAAGAAACCTACCTGCAAAGCTACAGTACTGTTAAAAGTTTTTAACACTTGGCACTTGTGTAAAAATGCTGTAAAAAATAGTCATAAACATATTTTCTTGATCAATTAACTAAATTAAATCAACATTTAGTGTGAGCATCCTTTGCGTGTAAAGCAGCTTTTTCCCTCAGTGCACTTGCACAGAGTTTTTCAGGGAGCTTTGCAGGTAGGTTTCTTGAAGCATCTTGGAGACGTTGCCACAGTTCTTCTGGATTTAGTCTGTCTCCGTTTGTTCTCTTTCTTCATCCAGACAGACTGGATGATGATCAGATCAGATTTCTGTGTGGAGCACTGGCTGTTGTCAGACAAAAGTCTCACTGGATTATTAAATAACTGACTTAAAACCATTTTTTAGCTGGTGAAAATACTAGTGTTCAAATCATTTTGGCCACCACTGTATATTAGCAATAGGCTGTTGTCACACACTTCTCCAGTAAAGCAGCAGAGTCCAGCTGGCCCAGCATGTGTCGCAGTGATACAGCCAGGGTTTGAAATGAACACCCGCCAAAT